TATATATATATATATATATATATATATATATATATGTATTCAAATTGTACAAAAAGACAAAAACCTTCTTTTGCTTACATTATAAGATGATTTCAGACTAATTGTGTCATGTTTAGATTAGCTGATACCGAAATTAATTGCTAAATTACACAGCAATGAATGAACAAAATGAGATGGTTTGTTGACAATCATTTAAAATTTCTTAAAATTCAAACGTTCACACAAACTGAATAACACTAAACCTGCATCAGCAAGATATTATCATCATACTAACTGTGTGTGCAAAGTCATATCACAAAGGACTCTTTAAGAGAATGATTTTTTTTTTCTCTAGTCTAATAAACTTACATCTTTGTACTTTGGTAATAGTTTGACAGATGGTCAGGCTGGGGATATATTTCAATGCAAATTCTCAAACACACTGCTTCGGATGTGGTTTTATAGAAAAATTATAAAAATACATTAAAGAAATAAGACAAGTTAACATACAGGTCGTTCTGGGGTAGGATCTCCAGTTCCCTGAAGGGGCTACATTAATTTCTTCAAGAATGCAACCAAGTTAAAATATCTGTATGATCCTTGGGAAGGGGGTTGAGTTCTGCTACTTCAACCACAAAAAACTGCTAAAAACCTTATGGCAATTATGACTGAAGCATGTGTGAGTGTATGTCATTATCTAAACTAAAACAAATCCTGTATGGAGATGGAATAAAAGGCCACTTAGATGTATATACTGTAAGTTATTACTTCAAAAGCTACAGGAAAACTCAGTTTGCAGAAGCACTAAGAAACACTCACAAAGACTATATTTTTGTAAGACATATTCTGTAGTCTGAGAAAACCATCTAAACAGTAAAATAATGACTCCATCTTGTTGTGTGGGTGTTTTGCTGATGTGGAGTCTACACAAACTACATAGCTTCACAGAGAAAGAACATCATGTTGACATTTTAAAGCTTCATCTCTAGTCAGCAGCCAGGAAATAAAAGCTTACTAAGAAGTTTCCAAAATTGAAATTTATACTAATCACACTGTAAAACCATTTACAAAGTAACATGACACCATTCAACATAAGAGCTTAAACGGTCTGTGTAAGAATGATAGCCTACAAACCATATTCAGATGTACAAGTTCTGTTAGTAGGAAGGCCAGAAATCAAGCTATATACTGCAATGTAAGAGGTTTGTGGAAAGACGCTCAATAGCCTTTTCAAAGTTTATACTCTTGGAATAGAAATTCTACCAGACACTGAAGAAATATAGGAAAATATCTGAAATCACAGCTTGTTAAAAAAAACTGTTATTGTTGGCCCCTTGTATGGCTATTTTTATTCTTTAATTTGTCAAATATTTATAATTTTGGAACCATAACATCAAATTAAATCATATGATTTAATATCAGCCCTATGAAAAAGTTTATTTTATTGCGGGTAAACAGATGACTTCAGTACAACATTGATTTTCAAATGTATGTTTAAGTGCCTTAAAAAGCATTTAAAAGCAACATTTTGGTGTGGTTTTCACAACATTTGTGTTCTTGGAGCTTGAGCCCTTATCTTTGACATGGAAGGAGGCCTAAGGAGCCTCAATATGCTGCACAACCAGGCCTTTCTCTTCAATGATCTGGCAGAGAGTTCTGACTAGTTGTGTATTTCTAAGGATAAACAGAAGAAAGAATTTCAGCAGATTGTTTACTGATTTCCAATATAAATAATATAATTTTCCTCCCATGATATTAATCCTGTGTCAAAAACTCCCCCATTCCAGAGGATAAAACTCAAATGACTGGTCAAAACTCTCTGCCAGATCATTGTAGAGAAAGGGGACCAAGGGAGACCATATTCAAGTAATCAACTACTATAGCTTACAATTAGACATGTATTGAACTTTGACCATTTATCACACATTTACTTGTTTTTAAGCTTGTTTTAACATCTGAGAAGATTTCAAAGAAGGGAACAGAGCTTAGCAAACAAAGAGATTCTGTCAGCTTACTTATCAAGGCATGAGGGGCCACCATTGGCATTCGGGCAATATGATCTGAGATACACTCATATTCACACACGAATTAATACAGAGAGTATAGGGCAGACTGATTAAACTTGCATCCACGGCTAATTACACCATCAAATGTCAACCTAGCACAGCATCGGTGCTGAAAGCCAGTGTAATTCGTTCTGCACTAATTTCCCTGACAGAGAAATGAGGGGCCCCACAGATGCATTTACTGTCTGCCATAAAACTTGTCTCCATTACGCAGCTAACTGCAGAGGAGAAGCTCATGAACAATAAAGAAAAAGACATGAATGAAAAATAAAAATCTGTACAATCAAAAGGAATGAGGATAAAAACAGTCAGAAGGAAGAAAAAATACACAACACCTGGGTAGACATTAGATGTTTATATGTTTGAAATACCGTGTAATGCTATATCTCTAACACTTTTGAACATGAGGCTTGTTTTGCAGTGGGAAAACAAGGCAACTAGAATAGAAGGGTTCAACATCAAATAAGATAATAATAAAAAATGCACGTCTTGAATCTAATAAAGGACATTTAACTAGGGCAGCAACTAGTGATTATTTTGCTGATTTGTTGATTATTTGTTTGATTAATTAATTAATAATCAGATAAGAAAAGCTTTCTTTACAGAATTAAAACTTGAGGAGTTGTGGATAGACCATATTTACAGACAAATACAGTAAGCTGTTTTTTCATTTCAAATGTAAAATATTTACATTTTTTTTTACAACTTTGGTATAATTACTGCTCCAAGTGGATTGCTCTGTCACCTAAAGGCATGTTTCAGTCTCAATGCTCCAGTTAAAGATTAATCGATTACTGAATTAGTTGACGATTATTTTAATAAAAAATGTATCACATTTAACCTGATTAATCGTTTCAGCCCTACTGTACATCGAATCCAGATAAATTGCTGAGTATGTTTTTTTCTAACAATAGATAACAATCAGGATATTAAAATAAAACACACACAGCCTAGAACACTTCAATTAAATAAGGCAAGCATTGTGCAGGAATAACTTCCTGCTATAATTGTGCTGTGTCTGCACAGCTGTCTACTTCACTTTCATCCATTTCCTCAGTAAGTAACTCTTCATGTCACTCAGATTACATTCAAGAAGCTCCTTGTCAGCTTAATTACATTATGCCATTGCATCTTGTTAAAGTGTGTTGTGTGACAAGGGATAAGAAATGTCTCATCTGTGTAAACTGCAATCAAGTGTCAGTTTTTAGTTTGATTGATATGACTCTCAGACAAAGCACCTACATTACTAAGACACTTAATGAAGGACATGCAATAAGCATTTGAGAAAAAAATCTGAAATACTTAAAATTAAGGCACCTCTAAACGACATCTAGGTACAATCAAGGTGTAACTTTTAAATTTGTCTTACTGTACATGTTTTTGTTTAGGTATAATTTAAACATCCATCATCCTTTTCCTGCTTAATCCATGAGGGTCTCGGTGGGGCTGGTGCCTTTCTCTGGCACTCTATGTGTGAGAGGTGGGCTACACCCTGGACAGGTCGCCAGTCTGTCCCAGGGCAACACAGAAACACAAAACCAAGCGCACACACACCCAAACCTATGCCCAATTTAGAGAAGATAATGAACTCAATAGTTACAGTTATGAAATGTGGGAGGAAGCCAGAGTACCAATCAGACAGGAAAGGGAAAACATGCAAACTCCATTCAGAAAGCCCCCGATCCAGGAATCGAACCCAGAACCTTCTTGCTGCAAGGCATCAATCCCACAAACTGAGCCCGTTATGTATTTTTATTTTATTTTTTTGTATGTGTAGAAATTTTAATAAAGTGTGATAAATAATTGACATCAGAAATTGCTGAAAGTATCTTTTAAAAGCATGATTTCTTATACAAAAATACAGCAACATCAACTAACTCTTAATCGGTCACAATCAGATATTCCTTATTTATCAAAGGCAACTGTATCATTTAGCTGTTAAGCAACAAATCAAGGAAAACATTGTTCTCAGTTTGATATTTCCAAAATCTTTCCTTAGTTTAGGCAGATATTAAATAAAAAATGTCAGAAGTCAAATCTATTTTCTACTTTACGTATTAAACAAATCTGCATATAATGTACCAGTTTAACTTTAGCTTCTAATTGCCATCCCTAAAATATGAAATTTATATTTAGTAATCAATTTCAGGGAGGCACAACTTTTTGAAAATTCTAAAAACAAGACATGATAAGAACCAAAAAGATATCTCTATGTGCATAGACCTCCACCATTTCTGTGTTTTTTTCCCCCAAACTTAGCTTCCTCTGCAGTTTTAACTATAAAAACTTTCAAACATATTTTAGAAATATAAAGAGTGAAAATGACAGCATTTGTATTAAACAGAACTGGCAAATGATAAATATTTTAAACTTAATACTGATATATCTTTAATGTATAATATAAATATAATATTCTTCATATAAATCAACTTAATAAACAGCAGCACAATAACTAAAACTCAAAGTGTTGTTGTGATAATATATGAAAAGCCCAGAAAGGAAAAGAAGAACAAGATGAGATCTGAGTAACATGATGAAGAAAAGCAATAGAGAAAGCTGATTTTACTTCTATCTAATCTATTAAACAATTTTTTTATCCCTGTTCTTGAATACTTTAAATATGTCAAGCTACAATAGTAAAACAGTGACATTTACTGAAGAGATCAATTAAAGAATATATGTATTTATTATGCCATATATACTTTAAATTCTGCATGCAGCTCTGTAAAAAAGAAACAAAAACAAGAATGAAACCTGATAAATCTATTACTATATACCTCAAACTAATTCTCTAAAATACCATACTGTAAGCATCACCTTTTTTTTTTAGGAAGATAGAGGGTAAAGATTCATACATGACATTTCCCCCACCAACCTTTTCGTAGTATTTAATCTCATAGTCCAGGATGATGCCGTTGGGTCTGTCTGGTTCCCGCCAGGACAGAGAGACACTGTTTCGAGATGTCTTCTCCTTTCGGATCACAGTTACTGGAGAGGGAGCTGGACCAGAGACATGGGAAAAAAAACAGGGTGTAAGAGCGAGTAAGAAAGGTTTTATTAAAGAAAGGTTCAGGGGAAGTTCAGTCCCTGGTGCTGAATCCTGATAATTGTCTGTAGTTCCTGTTAGCTTAATTCGGTTTGCTGCCTTATGGGTCAGCATTATAATCCATGTGGATAAGCTAAAACAAGAAAGGAAA